TCCTGAATGGTGTTGCCTAGGTTTTCTTCTAGGATTTTTATAGTGTTAGGTCTCATGTTTAAATCTTTAAGCCATCTGGAGTTAATTTTAGTGTAAGGTATTAGGAAGAGGTTCTGATTTGTAGTAAATAGCTTTTATTATTCTCTGCTTTTTGCACATGACTAGCCAGTTTCTCCAACACCATTTGTTAAACATGGCTCCTTTCCTGATTGGTGTTTTTGTCAGGTTTGTCAAAGATCAGATGGTTGTAGAAGTGTGGTGTTACTTCCAAGGCCTCTGTTCTGTTCCATTGGTGTATATCTTCTAAATATACAATCATGTCATCTGCAAATAGAGGCAATTTGACTTCCGCTTTACATAATTGAATACCGTTTATTTCTTTTTCTTGCCTGACTGCTCTGGCTGGAACATCCAATACTATATTGAATAGGAGTGGTGAGAGAGGCATCCTTGTCTAGTGCCAGTTTTCAAAGGGAATGTTTCCAGTTTTTGCCCATTCAGTATGATACTCGCTGTGGGTTTTTCGTAAATAGCTTTTTATTTTGAGATATGTTCCATTGACACCTAGTTTATTGAGAGTTTTTAGCATAAAGTGCTGTTGAATTTTGTCGAAGGCCTTCTCCAGATCTATTGAGATAATCATATGGTTTCTGTCATTGGTTCTGTTTATATGATGGATTATGTTTATAGATTTGCATATGTTGAACCAACCTTGCATCCTCGGGGTGAAGTCTACTTGATCGTGATGGGTAAGCTTTTTGATGTGCTGTTGCATACGGTTTGCCAGTATTTTATTGACGATCTTTGCATTGATGTTCATCATGGATATTGACCTGAACTTTTCTAGTTGTGTCTCTGCCAGGTTTTGGTATCAGCATAATGTTGGTCTCTTATGGAGGATTCCCTTTTTTTTGTATTGTTTGTAATACTTTCAGTAGGAATGGTACCAGCTCCTCTTTGTACATCTGGTAGTATTCGGCTGTGAACCCAACTTGACCTGGACTTTTTTTGGTTGGTTGGCCATCAATTGCTGCCTCAACTTCAGCCCTTGTTATTGGTCTATTCAGGGTTTCAACTTCTTCCTGGTTTAGTCTTGGAGGGTGCAAGTGTCCAGGAATTTATCCATTTCTTCCAGGTTTACTGGTTTATGTGCATTGAGTTGTTTGTAGTAATCTCTGATGGTAGTTTGTATTTCTTTGGAATCAGTGGTGATAGCCTCTGTATCATTTTTTATTGCATCTTTTTGATTTTCTCTCTATTCTCTATTATTAATCTAGCTAGCGGTCTATTTTCTTGATCTTTTCAAAAAAACAGCTTTTGGATTTATGGATTTTTTTGAAGGGTTTTTTCTTTCTCTATCTCCTTCAGTTCTTCTCTGATCCTAGTTATTTCTTGTCTTCTGCTAGCTTTTGAGGGTTTTTTTTTTTTTTTATCTTGCTCCTCTGGCTCTTTCAATTTTGATGATACGATTTCAATTTTAGATCTTTCTTCATTTCTTATGTGGGCATTTATTGCTATAAATTTCCCTCTAGACATTGCTTTAATGTGTCCAGGGATGCTGGTATGTTGTTTCTTCATTCCCATTCAAAGACCATCTTTATTTCTGCCTTCATTTCATTTTTTTATCCAGTCATCATTCAGGAGCAAGTTGTTCAGTTTCAATGTAGTTGTGTGGTTTTGAGTGAGTTTCTTAATCCTGAGTTGTAATTGGATTGCACTGTGGTCTGAAAGACTGTTATGATTTCCATTCTTTTGCATTTGCTAAGGAGGGATTTACTTCCAATTATGTAGTCAATTTTAGATTAAGTGCAATGTGATGCTGAGAAGAAAGTATATTCTGTGCTTTTGGGGTAAAGAGTTCTGTAGATGTCTGTTAGATCCACTTGATCCAGATCTGCGTTCAAGTCCTGGATATCCTTGTTGGTTTTCTGTCTTGTTGATCTGCCTAATATTGACAGTGGAGTGTTAAAGTCTCCTGCTGTTATTGTATCTGAGTCTAAGTCTTTTTGTAATTCGTAAGAACTTGCTTTATGTCTCTGGGTGCTCCTGTATTGGGTGCATTTATATTTAGGATAGTTAGCTCTTCTTGTTGGATTGATTCTTTTACTATTATGTAATGCCCTTCTTTGTCTCTTTTGATCTTTGTTGGTTTAAAGTCCGTTTTATCAGAGACTATGATTGCAATCCTTGCTTTTATCTTGGTCTTTATTTGCTTGGTAAATCTTCTTCCATCCCCTTCTTTTGAGCCTATGTGTGTCTTTGTACTTGAGATGGTCTCCTGAATACAGCACACTGATGGGTCTTGACTTTTTATCCAGTTTGCCAGTCTGTGTCTTTTGATTAGGGCATTTAGGCTGTTTACATTTAATGTTAATATTGTTATGTGTGAGTTTGATCCTGCCATTTTGTTACTGGCTGGTTGTTTTGCCCATTAGTTGATACAGTGTCTTCATTGCATTGTTGGTCCTTATCATTTGGTACATTTTTGCAATGGCTGGTACTGGTTGTTCCTTTCCATGTTTAGTGTTTTCTTCAGGAGCTCTTATAAGGCAGATCTGGTGGTGACAAAATCTTTCAGCAATTGCTTGTACATAAAGAATCTTATTTCTCCTTCATTCATGAAGTTTAGTTTGGCTGGATATGAGATTCTGGGTTGAAAGTTCTTTTATTTAAGGATGTTGAATATTAGCCCCCACTCTCTTCTGGCTTAGGGTTTCTGCTGAGAGATCCACTGTGAGTCTGATGGGCTTCCCTTTGTGGGTGACCCAGCCTTTCTCTCTGGCTGTCCTTAGCATTTTTTCCTTCATTTCCACCCTGGTGAATCTGACAAGTATGTGCCTTGGGGTTGCTCCTCTTGAGGAATATCTTTGTGGTGTTTTCTGTATTTCCTGAATTTGAATGTTGGCCTGCCTTGCTAGGTTGGGGAAGTTCTCCTAGATAATATCCTGAAGAATGTTTTCCAGATTGGATTAATTCTCCTCGTCACATTCAGGTACACAAATCAAGCATAGATTAAGTCTTCTTACATAATCCCATATTCCTTGAGGTTTTGTTCATTTCTTTTCACTCTTTTTTCTCTAATCTTGCCTTCTCATTTTATTTCACTGAATTCATCTTCAATCTCTGATATCCTTTCTTCTGCTTGATCAATTCGGCTATTGAAACTTGTTTATGCTTCATGAAGTTCTTGTGCTATGTTTTTCAGCTCCATCAAGTCGTTATGTTCTTCTCTAAGCTAGTTATTCTAGTTAGCATTTTGTCTAACTTTTTTTCAAGGTATTTAGTTTCTTTGCATTGGGTTAGAACATGTTCCTTTAGCTCAGAGAAATTTATTATTACTCACCTTCTGAAGCCTGCCTCTGTCAATTGGTTAAACTCATTCTCCATCCTGTTTTGTTCACTTGCTGGTGAGGAGTTGTGACCCCTTGGAGAAGAAGAGACATTCTGGTCTTTGATGATTTCATCCTTTTCACACTGTTTTTTTCCCCATCTTTGTGGATTTATTTACCTTTTATCTTTGAGGTCGCTGATTTTGGATGGTGTCTCTGAGTGGACGTCCTTTTTTTTGATGTTGAAGCTATTGCTTTCTGTTTTTTAGTTTTCCTTCTAACAGGTCCCTCTACAGCAGAAACATCTAGTTTTATGACAGAGGTGAGTAGTGTGGAACCAGGGAGAAAGCTGCTGATTTGTTAGAATACTTCATCCTGTTCCATTTGTGCTGCCTATAGGCAGTATTCCCTATAACATATCACCACACTTCTTTCTTAGTTTTCTTATCTTAGTTAATGAAGACATCAACTTTAATATTCCTTTCACCTCTAGAATTTTATGATCTATGGCAAATAAGTAACTATGCAGATTTAACAAAGTCTTATTGGGCACTTGTTTTACAGGGGGCGTAACTGGTTTTCTTTAGTTGTTGATGCTGACAATAAGATTTAGAGATAATTTAAACTAGTTAGGCGTAGAACTGTTGATTGTATATTGAGAGTGCATCAAGAAATAACGATGGTGTGTTATATCAGTGGTGAAGCCAGTCTCATCAAGAGTGTCTCATTAAATGATGACAGTATCAATTATTATTCAGTACAAGGCTATGAGCTAAAAGGTTCCTTCCTAAGAGATTACATAGTATTTATGTTAACAATATGGGCCATTGCTTGACTTACATTTCTAATCTTTGAACATATTTTTAGGCCACATGCATGTTAAGTATACTAATTACTGTACCCTTCAGTCTATTACACGGTGACACTATTAAACATTTCATTAGGAAATTGCAAAGTACAGCTGTAAAGTTATTTATTGTTGGGAAGGCTTTATTGCTTTATCACTTACTAGGTATTTGCCCCCAGCTTGTAAAATCTATATGCCAAGTTTCACAGTAACCTCATTAACATTAAGCATTACTGAAACAATTTGGTTGAAGAAAGCATTTAGGAGGTGATAATAAGGAATACAGGCCTGATGTTTTCATGAAGAAGACTGCATATGCCATTTCTACTGTTGAAATCTGTTTATGATACTAAAAAAAAAAAAAATCTCCTTTCTTTAAAGACATATGTCTTTCTTTAGTCTTCATTTAAAATAGGTTGGTGCAAAAGTAATTGCAGTTTTAATAAAATATATATAGTCTGATTACATTTTTTAAGGTGTGTATGGAATGACTTGAAAGCTGCAGCAGGTAGATGTTGTTCAAATGATTACCCCCAGTGAAATTCATCTCCAAAGACAGGATTTGTGAAACTAAAAGGGAGAAGTTTGAGAAGAGAGATGGTGTTTATAGTGCATTTAAAACCTCAGCATTAACTTTAAAACAGGAGGACTTAAGGCCTTGGCCACATCCCAAAACTGAACTATTTTCCATTGATTGGTATGATTCATTTTCTCTCTTTGGTTGTCTGTACTTTTTCTACCATACACACCACTTAAGCACCAACAAATCTGCAACTGACCTTTTCACAGCTGTATACTGAGATGCCTTGTCAATTTATTTGCAGACAGAGCTCTTTGTACATGCCTTCAAGGATCAACTCGTCAGGAGTGCTCTTTTAGCCCTCTACACTGCAAGGCCAGGAGGTATTCTTAAGAAGCCGCCCTCTCCTAAGAGCAGCACAGAGGAGAGCAGTCCCCAAGACCAGCCCCCACTGATGAGAAGACAGGACTCCATACCACATCATTCAGACTACGATGAGGAAGAGTGGGTAAGTTTCTTGCATATTGCTTGCCTCTCAATGTTTAGCCATGAAAAATAAGGTAAGAATGATCAGACATCTCTGCTTTTCATTTTAAAAAATGGAAAAAAGTCATAACACAGATTGTGGATAAATAGGTCACATTTTTCCCTAGGGGCAAATAATATTTGGAAGTTGAATTCCTGATAAAATGTATTTGCTAAACATTAAATTGTATTTTTAACTGAGAATCTGTCATCAAAGCAAAGATGCCACAGTTACAAGACTCTGTTTCCTTATTTATCGCCAAACTGTATAAAACATAAAAGTTACTTTTCAGAAAAAGAATAAAAAATCCTCCACATTACTACTACTTGAATGCAACAAGTATTTTCATTGTCGCACTCCAATGTTTTGGTTCTGGAAGAACTTTTTTAAAGTATTCACATTTAAATGACAATAGACATACATATCTTGCAAATCCCTCTTGCTCAAGTTTCTATAATAACATAAAAGATGCTGCTCTGGGTACTCTAAAACTTACAGAAGAATGGCCCCATAAAAGGATATGAAAAAAAAATAGCTGGGAAAGATGAATAAACAAAGGAAGTAAATATGGTGAGGGAAATTCTATTTGGGCCAAATAGGATGGGAGAAACATGAAGGTGCCTTGTGGCAGAGGAATACGGTATTATTACTGAATCGATACATATAAATTATCCAAGAACTCTCCAAAGTATATGCATGTTACACACACATACAAAGGGAAATCTATTACTGTATCATATTTCAAAAAAAATAAAAGGATGTAAACTGTATTAGATGTTAAGCTTTTAGTTAACAATTACTTTTCTTGCCACCCTAGAATTTAAGTGTTTGGGGAATAAATTACTTGAAAGGCACAGACCTCTCAAAAAAAAAAAAAAAAATAGGTTATCCAAAGGGCTGTGAAGTGATTCCTGCTTTTTCTTTTGGTAAAATTTCTATCACAAAAAGGTCAGAGCTGGGCTCCAAGAGGTAAATGCTAAGTAAGCTTTTGTCATTGCCGATTAAAATTGCATTTCTCCCAATGAAGCATTTTCAAAGAGCAAATTTGATATTTCTTTCTCCCTTTTACCTTCACCTTCTGCAACTTTTTTCAGAATTCCAAGTGTGCACACCTCTTAACCTCTCTGAAGTTCCGTTTTCTCAGCTGTAAAATCAAAATAACAGCGCGTGTCTGTTAGCTCTTAGGATGGTCATGAAATCAATGATTGACCTATGTTTTGATGCTCCATTTCCATTACTTTAGTATTATTGTTATATGTTTTTAAAGTAACAAAGTATATAATCTTATTATCTTATTATGAAGATTAAGACTATCCCTTGAGATAAGTGGGGAAGTTAGATATGTCATACAATGTGGATGGTGAATTTTAAAATTTGAGTGTATGTAGAAAAGAAGATATATTTTATTTAATTAAACATGGATTGTTAATCTTTTGACAAATAATTACTATTTTACATTAAATCAAGTGAGAATTTTGGAATTATTTTTTTCATCATTTTACCTCGCTGTGTTTTACAAACTCGCCCCTTCGCCTTGATCCCCTCCCCCTATTCAAAAAAGTTCCTCTCCTTCCTTCCTGATTTTCTTTTCTTTAGATAATTTTTGAAATCTTTTATTTAGTATTTCAAATGGGAAGGTTAAGTAATGTTAGATCCTTAGTTCTTGGAGCTCAGAGTCCAGTGATAGATAAGCATATGTTAACAATTAGTTACAACATTTTGCAACAAAGCTTAGAGACGTGATAGAAGACAACTCTGTTACTATGACTTCAACTCAAAATTTTAAGTCCGTAACTGTCTTATCCTGGGCAAGGAAGGAAGAAAGTGAGGACTGTATCACTAGTTGAGAAGGTTTACAGAAAACTATTACCTTCAGTCAATGTTATGAGTACCTTTCTGCCTGATTCACTGTGCCACATGCTGGGGATACAGGTGAACAACCTAGGGCCTCAGTTACTCCACAGCCTACTCAGGACTGTAGAAAGACAAACGGCAATCACTGTGCAGCCTTAGAGATGTACATGGGATACAGCAAGAATGTGGTAACCATGGTGGTGTTTCCAGAAGTAATTCTGGATATTTAAATGTGAGTATAAGTTAACCATTCAAGAAAGAGAATGGGGTGGCCTTTAGATGGGACATAATAGCTGACATACACAGAATTAGTAGTAGTAGTAGTTGTTGTTGTTGTTGTTGTTGTGTGCATGTGTGCCTATGATTATTATTAGTTATTTACATGTTTGTTTTAAAGTGAGTGAAATTTGAGCACATTATATTCCAAAAGCCATGTGAGAGGCACTGAGGTGATAACTGATGGAGCAAGGTCCTTACAAGAGAAGGAAGTCAATGCTAGGGCCCAGGTAGAAGATCAAGCCCTGGCGGGAGTGTGCCCTTCTCCTAAGACTGCAGGGAGGATGTGAAGATGTGAGGGTGGGTGGGGCTGGATGGCAGCTTTTGTCAGTAAAGTAGAATCATGAGCTAAGAGAAAAGGAGGGGCAGGACCGGAGAAAGTGAGTGGTGAAGGTTTCAAATAGGCACCGAAGAAATGTGTACTTGAGCTTATGAGTAACATGAAAAATTTGAGAATAATTCCAGGCTTTGTGAAGAACCAGACAAGGTTGAAGTGTTAGCTGACATGGTTGTTTGTTTAGCATTCAGCATTCTCTTGGGAATATTTTGCTAGTCTTCACACCAGGAAAAAAGTCTTCCTGATTTTTTTCTCCAGGTGGTGAAAGGGTGTCATCTCAATTTCTCATTTCCTTTCAAAGGCAAAAGAGGTTGGGAAATAAGAAGGGCTGCATTTCTCTCTGCTTCTCCTTTCCTGTCATTTCTGAGTCTCCTTTAGAACTCATTGTTTCTAGAAAACATATAAAAGCTTTGTCTAATTTTACCACAATTACAAGAAAAATATTTCCCACTCAGAAAATTACTTCTAATTCTCTCCTAATATAATTTTACTTTTTGCAAACAATAACCGAGTTTGATCGGTATATAACATTTTCATTGATTTTCCTTAGCAACCACTTTCTACTGAAAACGTTGCCTCATCAAGGGATAGAAATCCCTTATAAGAAGACAGAAACAATATTTCACCAGAGTCATAACCATTTAACGTTAGTCTCAAGCTTTATCTAACTTTGATAAATTGAGTAAAACTAAAGAAAATGTAGCTAATTGAAAATGCCTTTAGAGACTGTGGTATTAAATGAATTAGAAACATAACTTTGTGTACTACCTTTCTTAATTAGTTGTTAGAAAAGTTTCAGTGCTGATTGCAAGTCAACCCTGGAAGTAATTCAGTGTTTTAAATTAATTTAATTGGGTTTCTGTGATATTATGTGAAGATATTCCCTGATCACTTAAATTGGCTTACATTTGCAAATAAGGTTACAGTAGCTCCATTAGCATTTTTTGCTTGTTTTACTTAATTTCTGATAGTGACTGTAATAATTACCTAACTTGAACAACAGTATTTAGCTTCTTGTAATAAGTATTTGGGAAGTGAATAAATGTTATTAGATTACTTTTGAATCCTACCATGCCGATGCAGGTAAGAACCATTCTTTTGAAGTCAAAAAAGAGAATCCCATTCACTTGAAATCAATTTGAGGCTGTTATTTCTCTTTTCAACTTGTTTTGTTGACAAAATTGAAGACATTTGAATCTGGACAATAATTATCTTGACAATATGGTAAAGATTGAAACTAAAATGAATGTTTACAAAAAAGCCCATTATTTGCTGAATTTTATTTATTAAATAATGGAACTCTTTAAGGGTTTATTATCCTGAAAAGTTAGTAAACAATTAAACCCCAATGGAATATTTGAGATTTGATAACAATCTGTGCCAAGGAATAGACTAACATAGCATTCTCTTTCTTTTAGCCAGTTAAGATGACATATTGCTTCTCTTTGTCTACATCTCTGTAACAGATGCTTCCAGCAGCTGGGATTCCAAGATTAGTTTGTCTAAAGTATGAAAGCATGTCATTTAAGTAAACTATTAAGTTTACCTAGTTTTTGTGGTTTCTAATAATTCTAAAACTCTATGGAACACTGTGATTTAATTTCAAAATTACTAAACTGATAAATTGAGGGCTAAATCTGCCTACTTCTATTCAAATAAATTGTTAAAAAAGAAACTTCTGATCCTTTATATTCTGATCCATTCTAGCAGACTGCGAAACTAGAAAAACAATTCTTAGTATTTAGACATATACAAAATCCATTTTTAATTGAGCGACATTTCTATGTCAAGCAGCATTTCAGCATCCAAATTATCCAATTAATTCTTTTCATGTTTTAAATATAAATCAAATTTAAAATTTTAGTCTTCATTCTTAAGCTAGATAAACATTTGCTATTTCTTATTATGTTAAATGTGTTAATGTCACATAAGCACAATGGATAATCCATCCATAATAATTTTTTAATAATTTTGTAGATTTTAGAAACAATAGCACAAATTTATAGTAATATTTATGTCAAACATCCTATTTATAAACTCCATAAATAACCTAAAAATTTGTGGCTATTCTGTCACTCAATACTACCAAAGATTGTGTCTGGGAATAAGATTTATATGAAACATCTTCTAATATATTCCTTACATATTTTATACAGTTCCTTTTGTACTATACCTTTTTCTAATGATGCTTACAGCAAACATAAATGCTTAACCCATTTATGCCTGAGGTTGCAATTTTTAAAACTTCTGCGTGAGTGAAAAATCAGACCTTAGCGATGACCTTGAGCAGTAGTATATAAATAACTCCGCATGCTTAGTATTCCAGTAATGGAACACTAGGCATAAGGGGGCTAAGCTTGACAGGTGTATTGAAAGGCTTTTTATACTTCCATAATTGGCAGCAGTAATCATAGACAGTTGCAAGCATTGTTAACTGTTGAGGACAAAACCTATTTAGCCAGTTATCTCCACAGGAAATCTGTAGTAATCCATATTCTCAACTTCTCTTGTCCAG